CAATTAGTTTACATTTATTTATTACAAAAAGCACTTTTACTTTCTGTGTATTTTCAAATGCCACAGATGCTTTAATGTCCAAAGGGAAGTGAAGGGACATCCATTTTCAGAATTAGTCATAAAGGCCCTATATAATTTTATAATGCCAAGCAGTTGATGCCTTTCAAGATTAATAGGCAATGCTATGTTGTAAAAATGCAGAATAAAAGTCAATCCTTACATGAGAGAGTTACAGCCTAAGCACATTTATCTCAGAAGGTCTGAGCTGACTGATTGAGTTACTGGAGCTCTATTTTAGTGGTGAATAGGTGTTTAAAAAGTATTAATATTCACCATATTCACCATAAAGGTGCCCCCTCCAGACAAAAAAGTAGTTAAATTCACAGTACAGTGACAGACACATGGAAAAACAACTTTCTCACTAGCTACATTATACAGTATTGGAGAATAATTAATTTAGGACAATAACTATAACACCAAGTAGAACTAGCAGTGGAAGTAACAACTTATTTGCAAAATGTATTTCTGTTTTGTCAGTCTTTTGCAGCCATATTAGAAAGAAATACAAAGGAAGTAATACTTCATCAACAAAAATATGTCTCTGGAAAGCACAAAATGTGAAGGAGGAGGAAATATTTTTTTTTTGCAGTTTAGTTTTGGTTTGTTTTTTTCACAAAATGATTTTGTATTTTGGTGGCATAACAGAATGTGAAGGTATTACTACATAAAACATAGAGTTACCTTGCATTTTACATGCAATACTCCACTCAGTCTGTTGCTGCCATGGAGATATTGTGGAGCCACTAACACATTCCGTCAGTGTGATGCTATGGTGGCTCCAGATTTCATCTGAACTTAAGCATATGGAGGGTCACAGCTGGAGTCATGACAACATTAAATTAACCTGCTTAAAATATGTTGGGAAAACACCTATTCAAAGGAACTTATTTCATTGTGTATTTTACCCCTAGTATTATCTTGCACTTCTGGACTATTATGAAAGAGTGAAACATGGCTTGTATAGGTTCTTAGAGAGATATATGATACCCAAACTAGTATTGTAAAAATCTTTCAGAGGTTCCAAAATTTTGTTCAAAATGTAAAGTGGCTTTTTTTCAAGACGAAGAAGCTACTCTCTATATAATGTAATAATGTGTAATAAGGGATTTTTTAAAAAATTAAAATATATATTTTATGAAAGAGAGGATTAAAAGTTATTTTAAAATTAAATTTCAAAAATGTGAGTTCTTGTGTTATTTCATACAAGTATTTAGTTGTGATAAGTAGAAGTCTTTAAACATATTATTTTATGAGATATTAAAGAACTTACTCATTAAATTTCATTTCAAAGTGGTAGTGGGTGGCAGTTCAGGATCCAAGATTTCAAACCGGCTAACATTTTGATGCCATGCCAATACTGCACCAAAGTGCAGGAAATACTGCACTTTTTCCTTCTCATTTGGCTCACTTAGCAATGTAAACTAGAGTCCAAAGTATACTCTGGGAGCTTGGCTTTTAGCTTTGACTCACAGAAGCAATAAGCTCATCTATAGCTGCTTCCACCCATTGTTCCACTTCTACAGTGCTGAAATACTTCTTGAAGTCGGTATACCTGGATATTAAACAAAATGATGCAACCTCTTCGCACAGATCCTTGAAGAGAAGGCGGAATCAGCGCTTTCAAACTTTACTTGTTATTTAAGTTGTGCATGTATGACTAGCAACTGACCTGCTGTTCACAGAGAAATTCAAGTCAGTACCAGTGGGAAAGATCTTTAAAGATTAAGGTGCTCAACCACAAAAAAAAAAAAAAATTATTTTATTTTCTTTTACTTTTAGGCTATTTTACAGACCCTCCATCCCTGACTACTTCAAAGTCAGGATGAAGTGATTTTTCACTTTGTGCCAAAAGAGCAACAGAAAACAAAATAAACAGAAAGGGAAACAAAATCAGAATACCTTTCTGAAAAGCTACTTCCAGTACTGCTGGATTCTCCTGGACATCCAGGCATAAGTCTGTCCTGGAGATGATCTGCGCAGGGTGGCTGACATCAATCTGTACCTTGGTTCTCCTCTATAAACTGAAAAAGGGTTTTATCTTGCCCTCAGTGGTGTTACTTCAACTGAAAAAGTGAGATCATGTCTTCTGTGTCACAGGTATAAATGAAAATTAATTTTGTTGATGCTAAAGACAGTTGAGTTTGAAGGAGACACAATGGTTGACATAGCTAAGAAAAGCAACTTTTTGAGTGTACAGGCCCTTTTTTATTCCTTTTGTGAGCTGCTCTAACATTATATCTATGTCCAGATGATGTTCTGTCATTTTGACTAAAAGCACTTTTTATAATTTTATTTTTGAGAAAAAGTCAATAGAGTGTCTCCGAACATACCATCAAGAACTGTAAGTGGGACCTGAATCTTCTCTTTTTTCATAGGCCTGGGAACAGCAATTTCTTTCCCCACAGTTTCTGAGTGGGATGGAAATGGAAAAAAAAATGAAAAAAAAAATGTTTTCCACAACTTCCTCCCAAAAGGCTGATCTGATTCTCTTCCTTAGCGATAGTTTCTTTCTATTACAAAAACCTATCTTCCAGTGATTACAAAAAGTATATTTCACATCTGCTACTGCCAGAACAGCTTAAAATGGCATATGACAGAGTGCATGACAAAAGAAATCTGACAGAATCCCTCCATCAATGAAAAGTCAGCCGGGGCAATGAACATGGTCATGGTCAAAATTTCCAGTCAGCAGCTGTATGTGCAATAACCCGAGAAATGTTTTGCAAACAATATTAATCCTGGTAGAAATGTCTGAGTAAACCCTGCTTAGGTTTTCCTTCACAGAAGAGTTGAGAAGTGACAATAACAGAGAGCCTTCTTTCAAGAAGAAATAATGAACTAACATTTGAGATTGCAAAATAAATGAAGAGGGATTTGCAATTATTTTCAAGTGTCAGGATGTTGTAATATCACAAAGAGAAGTAACCCTAACCAAAAAATTACAAGGATATTACTTACTCCTAAGAACTCAAAATTAGTTTGATTTGCTGTTAGATTTTCTCTTCATTCTTATATTGAAAACCTGTTGTATTTACCTCAGTCCATTTATCATTCTTGCTTCTACAGAAAAAGCGAGTTTATTAAAAATAAAAATCCCATTTCACTGCAATAGCTACAATCTTTAGAGTTAATCCTCACTATTGTCCATCCACAATATACAGTATTGCTTACTTCACATACAGGCAAGAAAACTCCAGGAAAGAAATATAACTTTACAGTATTTCTTCCAAATAACAACAACTGGGGAAAAAAATTCATTATTATGAATTTCTTTCTCTAAATGCGCAGAACAGGCAGATTTCCTCCTTCTTGAATCAAAACAAAAGGTACAAGAATTTTCTTCTATTTTAACTTTTAAATAGGATACTACTAGGACCAGGACACTATGACTTAAATTTCCCTTTAGGAAAGAAATGGAAGTCTATTATTAAGTATCATTGCTATACATGTGCTTAAGGTAAAGAAAAAAAAAATCTTTCACAAGGCCAGCTCTCCACTCCCAATTTGGTTATGATAGTTGGATCTAACTTGGTATTTACATGCAGGCATAATTCTTGTGCCTAATACTTACTTTTTTCCAGATGGATAACAATATACAGATTAACTTCAAATAGATCTCTAAAGACAGACCTTATAACAGCAAAAAGCAAAAAAAGGGTTTCTTTTCTATTACAATTAATCATTGATCAAACATTTGTAAGATCTCTACTTATAGACCTTATAACAGCAAAAAGCAAAAAAAGGGTTTCTTTTCTATTACAATTAATCATTGATCAAACATTTGTAAGATCTCTACTTATAGACCTTATAACAGCAAAAAGCAAAAAAAGGGTTTCTTTTCTATTACAATTAATCATTGATCAAACATTTGTACCTGTCTTGTCCAGACTGGCACACATAATCATACTATTTTCCTGTTTTTCTTATTCTAAGTTTATACTATACAATATAGCTTCCCCTTCCTATTTATCTCAGCTTCTCTTTAAATCAATTAAATTTTGGCTTTCCCCTCCTCTCAAAGGTGCATTGAATTGGCATGTAAATCAAGAAAACTAACACTTCCCTATTACTGAGGCATAAAACCTGCAGCCCTTTCTTTGCAAGCACTTTCATGTCCCATTTACCCATATCCTCTCAGGAGTTTGTTACAGCAACATTAGATATTAATTAATGGAGCTGGCCCATTGCATACTTTGAAGAACTGGCACAAATCACTCTGAGTTGGCAGGCTGCTGCCCAAATACTGAGCTGATCACAGTAGAAGAGGATCTGGATGCCATGAGGACACCTCTCCAGAGCAGGGATTTCTATCACATTGTTGCCATTACAAAAACAAGTTGTTCATAGGGCCTAAGTAGATGAAAGCAAACAACATGCAGCCTTCCTGCCCTCACCACTCCCTGAAATATAACTGTGTTTTGGTTTAGGGGAGTTTAAGCCCGTTCTGCACCCCAAGTCTTGGCTCTGTAAGGACAGAAGCGGCTCAAGTTCAATGACTAATATGGAAACTTGCCACTTCTTTTCCACAGTGTTTCCTGAATCTGGTATTTCACATGTGTAATAATAAGGCTACAGCATCTCTTTCTTCTGAGATTTCAAGAGAGATCTTCAAAGAGAGCCTCAGTCACCCTCTTGTAACTATGGTGTTGCCTTGCCCTTTTCCTTTACAACATGGTGTTATAGAAAAAGGTGTAGGGGCTTTTTCTTAGCTTGCACTCCTTTCCCAAGTCATATCAGACCTTAAAGTGACTAAAGGAAGAATGTGATGCACATACAACATAGACTTTTGAGGGGGTTTTAAATTTTTCAAATACTTTGTTTTAAAAAAAGAAAAATAAATACTCATTCAAAACAGAAAACCCAAACCCACACAGCATCTCCACCACAGGCAATATGGAACACCAGTTTGTTTTTGGAGGCCAAAAATAAGTCAGACAAAATATTGATTAAATCTTTATTAATAAAAAAAAATCTTAGTATAAAAAAGTAATTCTGCATATTTAGAGAACAGACAAAGATGAAACTATACAGTAGCAGTAAAGTAAGACACAAGTTAATTTAAAGACCCTTGAAATCATGTTTTCAGAATTGTTCTCTTTTCTGTTGTCATCTGCCATTATTGCCTCCATCAAGAGTGTGAACTCCCTGAAGCAACCACTTGATACACCTTGGAGTTATGCAACGATTAGCCTATAATAAAAAGATGCTGCCTACATTAATGTTTGCTACTGTTAGTCCATCCAGTGATGGACAAATATACAGCAGGTTTAATGATAGTACATCAAAAAGTTGCATAGATAATTGTAACAAATGTTACCATCCAGCCAAATACTTGTTGTTTTCCATAATCTTTGATGCATTTCAGTCATGCCCAGCAGAATAAACAATCATTATATTAATTAGCTTCATTTAGTCTTCAGCATTGCAATGTTACAGTGCCTTTCAAGAGCATGACAAAGGTACACTTGGATAACAACAATAATGTGATTATTTTGAGTGGAATCCTTTGCCAGATCTAGCTTTCATAACTAATCTGACAGCAGAATATTGATAGAATTAGTTACTTAGGAACAAGTAGATCTTTAAGCCACAACAAAGCAGGCAGAAGAAATCTAAAAACTAACTAGAAGTATCAGCTCTGATTAAGGTTGCTCTTCTCCTTGGAAAAGGTCAGTTTCCATTAGGATTACTGTTTCTTGTGCATCTCCTCTATTCTGTCCTCAAATACCAGCATACATAGGCAGGAATGAAATTGGTACCTGGGTATTTGAAGGTGGGATCTATGCACTCTGCTTTATCAAAGAAACCAAACCGATTATTGCTTGTTCATGTAATTGGCTTTCTAAAAGCAAAGCTATTGACAAGCATTCTTGTAAACTTACACCCTGTAACTGGTACACAAATACTGGATAAAAGACATGTGCCACACAGCAGTCTTACTCTGGATTATATATCTGAATCTTGTTTACATCAGTGCAACTGCCTACAGAGCTGGTATCTTAAAGGCAACTTAACTGAATCACCTATTGCAAAGTCATTCAATGCACTTCTTCCTCCTAAATCTATGACGTCTTATTTCTTCTGTCACCTTTCTCTAATTATTCAAGTCATCAGGATGTTTACTCCTGGAAACTTTCATTAGAGAGACATCACAAATTATGGCAAATCTGGAAAGAACACATGGATATGGCCATGGATATGTCCATTAAGCAATATCATTTTAGCTACTGAAAAAATATTTTGAAAATACACTTTTCCACTCTCCTAAAGGTTTTGTTTTCTTCTTGCAGCTGAACCCAGACATTAGGAAGATCCCAAGCCTCTTGCAAAAACAAGTCTGTATCATCTCAGCCAGAAAAGCCATCATGCTGTCCTTTTCAACTGTTGGTACTGCAGAAATATATAAAAAGTAAGGTTATAAATAGAATTTTCACTGTATTTACCTCAAATATATTTATCTGCCTAAGTATTTTTGAAGGCATTCATATCAGCTTTTTAACATAAAGTAAAATGGCCAAACTGTATAAATGGTTATGCAAGTTGTAGAGGTAGATGATTGAATAAACATCACCATAAGTGTGAAACAGTAATAGGCACTGCCACCTGCATAATGTGCAGTAGCATATGAGTTCATTTGTTAAAATGAAAACACGGAAAGGTTGCATAGCATTACACTTGATGTATATTCTACTTAAATCATCAAAACAGCATTGCACCTCACCAGATGGTTGTAGCTGATTATGACTTGTTTGCTAACACTGTTACCAAAAGGAAAGCAGAGCAATTAAGTTATCCCCACCGTTTTAAAGCCAGGACTCACCTGCTTGCTGACAGTGTTTTTCTGCCAACAGTTGGTGGAGAGGGTTCACTATGGAAGAAGCTTTTTATCCACCAGTGTTTATCAATTAACTCTGGTAACCCTGCCAAAGGAGAAAAGCCCACAACATTGGACACTGGATGAATAACAGGAAACTGAAAAGTGTTTCAAAGAAGGGAACAATACCATGCAATGCTTTGTCCTGGTCTGTGATATTCACAGCATCCAAACAGCAGGAGGAGCTGGAAGAAACGCTGGATTCTGAGTTCAGTCTTGCTGTTTGTGGAAAACAGAGACACATGTAACAAAAAAAAATGCTTTGACAGAGTGCACTCTTTATATGTCAGGAGTTTTTCAGACATGCTGCTACCTCAGAGGAAACAATTTCACTGAGCTACAGAGTGTAACTGTTCTACTACAGTTTTCATAAGATCTTTTGTATCAGTTTCTCACTCTACTCACACTGCCCTTAAAAGCATACTGAGATCTGTCTGCATAGCTTTCACTGAAATCACTGACAAAGTTTAAGATCATGGCCACACTGCTGTCAAGACAAGCAAGTACATCCTTTGACATTTAAATCCACAACAACCCAATTGCCATGCTTTCCCTTGCGACACAACTAAATATTACACTCACATTAGTGTCCATCGTGGATCTAGGAATCCTAATATGCCATGTGTACTCTCAAAGCAGTGATCATTTCACATATTTAGAAACAAAAATCTGAATTGATTTGTACTGTGTCTAAATTTGCAAAGTAAATAGGAAGTAAATAGGAAGTAAATAGGAAGTACAGGTAGAAACCATGACTTGCTAGGCTAGCACTTTTTTGAGGTCATGTTTTAAATAGATACATATATGTGTATGTATATAGATAGATAGATAGATAGATAGATAGATAGAGATACATGATAACCCTAATAAATAATTCTAAATAGAGTAATTTTTTTTAAAAAAAGGTAGATTAATAGCCAGAAGCAGATGGTCATTAAAATTAAAGCTCTATGATATGAAAAACTCTCCAAGAAATTAAAAGCTATTTAGGTAAAGACAACTCCTTGCCTCCAGCTCATCCAGACATCATCACCTGAAACACTTTCTGACACTTTTCCTGAGTACCACTTTCTCGGGAGAGGCTTGGGGGCTCAGCCTCCCTCCTCCCGAGGCGCTCCCCAGACAGAGAGAAAGGAAGAGGGGAGAGACGGGCGGGGTGCGTTTGGGGACAACACGCAGCTCCCGGCCCCGCCGAGCACTCACTCCTGTAGTACTGGTTCTTGGCCAGGAGGCAGCCGGCGGACGGGACGGAGGCCATGGCAGCGACAGACGGGAATCCGGCTTTCTCCGGGAGGAGCCTGCGGGGGAAAGGACGCGCTGTAAGGGGGAAAGGATGCGCTGTAAGGGGGAAGGACCCCGCTGTGTCCCGTGGACCCTGCGGCTCACCTGTGTCCCAGGGCGAGCGGCCGTGCAGCGGCACGAAGAGAGAGAGGCCCACAGCGCAGCGAGCGCCGCCGGGCCCGGCCGCCCTTTATGGGGCGCGGCAGCGGCTCCCCCCGCCCGGGGGCGGTGGCACGGGCGGGACGGGAGCGAGGGGACGGCAGGGGAAGGAGCCCTCGGCCACAGCCGCCCGGCACCGCCCGGGTCGGGCCGGGACAGCCCCCGGCCGTGCCCGCGTCCCCGCAGCGGCCCCCTCGGCCCCTGCTCCTGCCCGTCGTGCCGAGCGCATCGCTGGAGCGAGGACTGGGAGCTGCTGCGTTAAATATCTCTTCCCTGTGGGGAATGGGAAGAGCGGGGTGAAGCAGACAGGTGCCGGTTTGGGTAAAGATTTTTGTTCAGAAACGCGAACGTGGCTATGCAAATACACTAATTTAGTGAAGCCAAAGGAATTACCTCCACTCTCACGGTAATGATTAAAACCTGTGATCATGTAGTCTTGGTAAAATTAGAATGAAACCTAGATCACAAAACTACTTTTACCTTCCCAAGGTAAATGCACAGCTCCTTTTCATTGTTGTAATCCTATTGTATGGCAAAACTAGTCCAACAGTGTTTGTCCTCACCTTTCAGAATTGTCAACAGAAAAAGCAACAAACAGCTTTAGCTATTTGGTTTGCTCCCGCTCCATGACAAAACTTTTTGTCCTTTTTTCTTCCCTAGCAGGAGTTGTGGGTAAGAACACAGAGGTGGAGCGTGTGTGATAAGATGTTACTGTCACATCTGCTTGAATAGTGAATTCTATCTCAAATGATAAGGACATAACTTACAATAGCTCCTAGCATATTTATGAGAGTGTAAACCACACTGCAGGGAAACCACCTCTAAAACAATACCCACACAACATTTGTAGCAGGTAAGCAGAGTGTATTTTCATAGGCCTTTTTACTGATGTGCTGTCAGAGTCTTGGCATTGTGATGGTCTCTCCTGGGCAAAGATTGAAGGCTCACCACTGAGAAATGTGCATGAGAGACACAGAAAATTATCTGCAGATGAGTTCATACCAAGCACTAACACCAGTTACCCCATACATTTATCCTGTTATGTAAAAAAGCACTGTAAGAGTAGTAGTACTCACTGTTGCAGTTACTGGTTTATGGATATCTAAATGTATTAGCTTGTTAATACTATTAGCCATTAATTCAGTGTATCAGTCACCTTGTTGCCTGCCTTAGTAATCAATTTCCGTTTTCAGTCTTGTTCTATTTGAAGGCAATAAATTTCTGCAACATCCCATTTGTTTTTGTCACCATAAATGCCCTCACATTGAGCACTCTCTTGAATTGTCAGCTCCATTCCTGAAAGAGAGGAAGTATCTTCCCATAAGAAATAGTCTTCTTGAGCTGTGAGGGTGGGCACTTGTAGTGATAGCACTGTGTCCTAGACAGAGCTAGTAACATTATCATTTATTGTATCTGGTTTTGTCTTTCAGCTTTAAAATCCTGTTTTAATGTTTTGGTAATGTTCATTGGTTTGTCAAGGACATTATCAGAAAAGCTGTTTAGTCTCTAACATGCCCATGGTATAGGCTTTGTATTTTACAAGGAAACGGATATAATTATCTCTCTTGCAAGCCTCACAAACATCCATCCGTTTCAGAGCCATACCAAAATACTCAGGAACACCAGGTCTGTAAAATTTTCAATTGTTTCACTGCTGCATGTGTATAATTTGGCTTTATCATTTAGAATACACGGTCATTTATCACTTTTGGTTTGGAGCCTTTTTTAATGCACTGGAATAGAAAGGGCTTATTTAATGAGAAATTTTCCACTATTTCTCTCACTCAATCTGTCATTATGTCCCATCTATTGAATTTTCTTCTAGTAAGAATACAGAATCCTCTGAATATAGAACTGCAGGTTTCCCCAGTGTTTTTTCGTGCATGGTCATTCTGGCAGACTGTTTCTAAAATACTGGCACAATTATTTTAAAGTATTGCTACAAAACCAAGGCATGCTATTATCTTCAGCTAAGAAGAGGGAATTCTGAGATCCATAGGAGATAAGATAAAATTTACCAAAAATCTTACATGTCTCATATGAGAGCTGTTTAGAGCTTTATTTTTTTATAACTGCTTCATGCCGTACTTCATTTACCCACTTATAGCTCTCATTTACTTCCGATCCAGATTTAAGTACTCAGTGTGTTGATAAATCAGATTCTCAATCAGACATTGAAAAACTTGATTAGTGGCTACCTACGATTAAGTAACTCACAAAGCATCAATTACAAACTCAGGGGCAAGGTTACAATTTAACTTTCAAGACAGCATTCAATTGCCTTAACCACTGACCCATTATTTTCTCCCTGAAAGCCTTGGCTGCATCACTTCTCAAATTCTGTCATGAATATGGAAGTAGTGTATTAAATACATGCTATACTCTCTTGAATATAACAAACTTAGTTCATATCCATGCTTTATGCAGAAAGAGGCAGGGGCCCTATGAAATAAATAGTACATCGTCCCCAATTTTGTAAAAATGTTTTTACAAAATGTACATTTCCAACTCTTCGAATGGCTAATACTATGACCTTAACAACAGTATTAATATAACATTTATATATGCATAACAATTAAATAGACACAGTACTGAATTATTTGTGATTCCATGAAACATGGATACTTATCAGAAAGTAACTTGAAATTAAAAATTATATCAATATGACTGATTAAATGGATCAATCTCCCACCGTATTGTGCCAGGATTACCTGATATAACCCTTTATTGTACATTAAAAGCAAAACATCACTGTCACAAAAAGAAAAACAAACAGTCTATATTGAGTTATACTTTGAAGCTAACCTGTTAATTATTCACTAAAAAAAGTTTTTCTGATAAACTTAGCTACTCTTTCACTTCTTGGAACATCTGTGAGCCTGGTGCTTTCTGGGGACTTGTTTTGGGTATTTACTTCCATGTACTTTTATGACTTTTTTTTTTACTTTTCCTTGTCACTTAACCTTCTGTAAGAGTACTGTGGCATTAGAAATTCTACAGTGTTGCTTCAGGGCTGTGTCCTGTGTATGATAATATGGGTGCTCTGACATTGTTTAGAGAGATGTGAACAATTTGAGTAAAAGCAGCTTTCCAAATGAACATGCAGAAAGGTATCGTTTTGGCACATGAAGGTTGAATATTCTCTCCCCACAAGCCTCTGGAAAAACAGATTTTGCACCTTTTCCTAAATCACAGAAGCACAAAATAGTCTGAGTCTAAAGGCACGTAGAAGGATCATTAAGTCCAGCTGGTAAGTGAATGGCACATACAGGGATCGAGCCTTGACGTTATTAGCACCATGCTCTAACAAACTGAGCTAATCTCAAAATTAATCTTATTACCCATCCACAGCTAACATTTCATTCCAATTTTTTACAGAAAGTAGAAATCACTCTTTTTTTAAGGCAATTGTGTACCAGTTTTCCATGAGAAGACAAACTTCCCTGAGCAGTATTTTGTAATGGATGTATATTGACTTTTTTAGAGAACTGTCAGAATCTTTTCCTTCATGGATCTGTTAGTAACTCTAATTATTCACTATTTATCTCAGCAAATTATTTTGCATACCTATTCTGTCAAATTTTGGAAAGAGTCTATAAAAGAGGCTTGCATTAAAGAAATTTCATAGTTCCACGATGTGAAGTAAAAAAACTTTGCCATGCAAAATTTACTTATCAAAACCTGTTTAGTTTGTTAGCTGCTTCCAAGGACCAGTGCCATCACTTACTTTTTTCATTCATTTATTTTGCTCTTCAAATATTCCTCCAAGCCAAACAGCTCAGCAGGAATGCAGGGCTCATCTATCAAAAACAAGAGGAATTGAGGTATTGATGAAAAATTAAATGGCAGAGTGAGACGTGGCAGGGGAATGGAAATTCATATTGTATGTAGCCTGCAAAAGATACATGGAGCCATAGAGCTGCTGGGGAGAGCCTGAGCACAGAAGGGACAAGAAAAAATTTTCTTCACCACTGCAGTGTGTGACACCACTGCAAATCATCAACTCTGTAGTAATGACCACTCCCAGTAATGAAATGATTGTTTACTGAGAGCTGCAGCACTTTCTTTCATTGTTTTTATTTTCAATCTTTACTACAAATGTGAATATAAACTTGGCAAAAAACAAAATGAAGAAACACATTTGATGAAGAGAAAAAGATTACTTTTTCCTGACCATTTAAGATATTGGATGAGAGAATACTGAAAGCAAAGGGTAGCTACTGATCTCTAGAGTGCATGGAATACACCCCTGAATGATGCACATTGCCAGAAATGTCAGTAAAAGCAGGGAAAATGCATACTTTTACATACAAACTTCATGGCAAAAACATTGAGAAAGACTGCATTTCTAAATTGTTAGTACATCTTTGTGCATTTACTGTTAAATGACAGTTTTCAAAGGCTAAAATACAAAAAATTTCTCTTTATGCAGTCCAATTCAGCACTACACTCACACAAAAACATTTTAGCATTTGTCATTTTATTTTTATCTTAGCACTTAATTGAAACCCATTTTTCTTTGCATCCAAATGCAACAAGCTACACAAACTTCTTCCAGCAAGCTGCATCTTTTACATCTTTCTCAGAATGATTATGAATACTTGGACTTCTTGTTACTTTTGTTTCTCAAGTATTCTGAATAAGAAGACTTAAGCTCCCAGTATCACAAAATACAAGGATTATAAATTGTATTTCTACAAAACAGAATATGTAATTGATTGAAATGTAACTGAATAAAGCAAAATTGAAACTTAGGCATGTTTATATACCTTTTTAATATGTCCCTGGAAATTTATTGATCTATAGAGATCAGAAAAGTTGGCTGGTTATCCAATTTCACAGCCATTACTGAGATGCAGGGCCAAATTGCATATTTTTAATATTCTTGTCCATTTTGGTTAAAACAAACATTTTATTGAATAGCATCCACTTTTTCAAATTGCTGTAAAGAGTACTGTGCATTTTGATGTACACCCACAGACTCTTCCCTCATTCACTTCTGTACCTACTCTCTCTCTGTCCTTGCAGGTAGAATGGACTGAGGCTCACCAGTTTGAACACAACCTGATACCTCTGCAAAAGCATACTAGAAAGTTGTAGTAGCCCATCATGCCTCACAGTGCAGAGACACTATTCCTCAGAATTGAGACATGTTGGCATCTTCATTTCTTTACTAGTTGTTCTGTCACCAGGCCAGATGCTCAGAATGGAGCAGCATGAGGTGCAAAAAGCTTCAGGGAACTTGTGAATAAAAAGAA